CTGGGTTGGTGAAGGAAGAGAAACGTTTAACAGTATCTTGGCAAACAAATAAAACCCACACAGAATGTATCCTAGAAGGGGAATGAAAGAAAAACTAAGCAACACAAAATGAGTTTTTACTCCTCTTGGCAAGGGATTCCAGCACTGCTATGGCTCTAGATGAGCCAGGGGAACACAGCACCCAGAAAAAGAGCCAGGGACAGGCAGGTGTGTGCATCACAGTTTTAACTGCAAGGTTATTTTTTTCTGCAGCAGTTAGATCTACATTAACAATTTGACTCAAGATTTCACTTACAGTAACAAAATTCCTTGTTTTTATGTGGAAGGTGGGGATTTCTCTGTGCCCATAAACAAGATTTTAAGTATTTGAGATAGAAACAGTGGAAGTCTTTGATAGGAGCACAGTAAAAGAACAAACCAAACCACTCCCTCTTTGCAACTATTGTGCAACTTCCACTATGAAGCCAGAGTTGCTCATAGCATTTGCTTCTTTGTAGAGGTGTCACTGAGAGCAACTGTGCTGTCCTCTCTTGTCTCACGTTATCCTAAACCAATGTGGACAAATCTTTCCTAAACTCCTTCCCATTTGCTAAGGGAAAATTAGAGAAATTTTCTTAGAAAGCAGGATGAATATAAACAGCTTTGTCAAATGGAAAGATGGCAAAATATCAATGAAGAATATAAACAATAAAGAAACTTAGGCTGGCCCAAAGGTACAGCAAGAAGGGAGAAAGAAGGATGGATAGAAAGCAAAGCTTTTCAAAAAACGGAAAGCATTTGGCACTCTCAAGAAAACTGCAGTAATCTCTGTTCCTCGAGAGTTTTGAAATTAGACTCATTAAAAGAGACCCCTCTTGCATTGGCAGAGAAACAAATGACATGGTTTATCCTCTCCAGTCCTGACTTCTCTTTGTCTGAAGTATTGCATTGAGACATTAAACTAATATAGTGTGTGTTCACTGAGGGCTGGAAATTTTCTGCTGTGCTGCTGCACTGCTTGCAGCTTCAACATAAATTCTACTTCTGCTGTAGTCACAGGCAGTAGAGCTGGGACCTGCTCCACATTGGCATGAGGAATTCCTGCACCATCCTGGCCCCTACACAGAGTGCTGTGCTGTCCCCACTTGACTGGCCAGAGTTCAGCTGCCATGAGCTGTAAATTTACAGCTCAAGTTTAGACTTCAGACATCTTCTCTAGTTTACCTGATGCCTCAGGTTTCAGTTTTTATATTTCAGATTCTATGCTGCTTTAGTGGGTGGGTCTGGGTTCATATGAGGGCATGCTGAGCTCTGTGCACAGAGCAGGGAGCCAAAACAATTCCTGCTCCAGCTGGGCACCAAGGACAAATGATCCAAATCTCAGCCCAGGAGCACAAACACCGTGGGCTGGAGAGAGAAAAACAAGCAGGGTGGGACTGCCTGGGCTAAAGCTGGAATGGGACAATGAACTGCAAGGTGCAAATGGAGCAGAACTGATCACAGTGACAGACCCTGTGCCCTCGTGTCCATTTTTGGGACCATTTTGGTTCATCTTGGGTGCAGCCCTGGCTGGGCTCTTGTGCTGCCCAAGGTGCATCCATTGAGGCCTTTTAAAAATCCCTGCTTTATTCTTTAACTCTGTCTGATCTCTGTTCTAGAGAAGAGCCTTCACAAGGCATCATACTGTCACTGTCATATTTTCTGAAAACTGCCTTCAGCAGGATTTTTCTCCTGAGAAGCCTCAGAAAAGAAATGCAAACAATAATTATCTGATTGCTTGGAATGTGGTTTGGAGGTTGCTTACCAACAGGTGAATGTTTGATTGTTTCCATGTGAATGGTTTTAACTTAATGACCAATCAAAGCCAGCTGTGCTGGGACTCTGGTCAGTCATGGGCTTTTTATTATGATTCTTTTCTAGCCTTCTGATGTCTTCTTTTTCTTTAGTGTAGTTTTAGTATATAATTTTCTTTTAATATAATGTAGTATCATAAAATAATGAAACAGCCTTCTGAGAACTTGGAGTCAATTCTCATCTCTCACCTCATCCTGGGACCCACAACAACACCGCAACGATTAACAACCACATCATACTTGTGTAAATCTAATCCATTTGCTACAGATTCAAGGTGTCCAAGGACTCATGCTCAGAAGAGACAACAGCAACTGTTCTACTGACCAAAGTCCCAGGATAAACTTCACTGCTCAGTTTCAACAAGAGGTCTGTACAAATAAACTTGGATTTTTAAGCAGCAAAGAGCCTCACCAAGATGATCAAGTGGTTTATAGAACAGAAGTCCAGGACCTTTGCAGGGGTGGCACAGACGTAAGTCCCTTTTGCCAGGGGTGAGGAATTAAGCAGTGGTGTAGAGTGCCAGCTTTATTCCCATCTGCCCAGCACAGCTGCCCCACTGGATGCTCACAGCAGCCCCCACCCAGGTCAGAGTTACCTGACAAATCCCAGAGCTGCCCCTGAAGGTTCCTGTGCCAGCCTGTTAGCATTCAGGAACACAATCACAGAATGATTCTATGCAGGTGTTTGTATTAAAGAGCTCTGGGCATCAGGAGACACAGACCCAAACTTGACTCTGACAGTTTCAAGCCAAACATGTTTTATATTTTATCATTATATAACTTACATACTAATTATTAAACTTACATTGTTCTATTGTATACATTGATTTCATCCAAGCATGGATTTCTCATGATCCCCCTCTCATGATCCCAAACCCCTAACATTGTTTCTCATGACTCTTTAAACAATAATTATATCTAATAATATCTAACAATTATAACATTTATCATATGCTGGTTACACACATGCAGTTTCACATGATCTAGCAAATACAAGGCCTAACATTTCCCAGGGCCTACTAAGCCTAACTTTCTTTCTAGCTCCCCAAATTTTCTATGATTTTAAAATCTTCTGCTCTCAAGCCCTGCTCATATTTAGCACCAGCCCATGCCCATTGCTGCTTTGTGTTGTGCCAGCAGATTCAGCACTCCTAGCAAACCAGCTGGAATTACAGAGCTGGCTCCACTTTGATGTACTGGCATATTTTAGCATCCTCTCTTGTGTGTTCCTCAACCTCTCTGCCTGAGCCTGTGTGATAACAGATTTTCTGCAAAGTGTAATAGTCAGTGCCAGCTGAAATTAACCCTATTGTTCCATTATACAGCAGCTATAGCCATTCATCAGACAAGAAACTGTAATTTAAGTTTTCTCTACAGAAATCTTATCTCACAGACCATACACTGGCATTGGAGAAACACCATTAAGTAACCAAAAAAAGAAGGTCCAAATTAAAATAAAATCATTAGCTACATTTTCTGCTTAAGTGATCATTAACTAAGTTATCATCTGCTAATTCATGCAGCTAATTCAGACCTCTCTGCTAAACATGTAAAATGGCCTCTTTGGTGGAGAAGGATAAAGGAGCACTGACATGGCAAAGAACTTCAGAACTGAAAATGATTCAAAGCTCCTGAGAGTATCTCTTAACTGTAGTTTCTTCCTTTAATAGCTACAGGATCTGGTTTTGTTTAAGAACAAAAACAAGCATTTCTTGAGGAAATTTGAGGTAGCAGCTGAGATACATTAGGCCAAATTTAATAAGTCATAACAATTAAAGACTTTTATTCCTTTGATAAATTTCATTTTAATAAAAAAAAAAAATTAATGAAATCCATTTTATTAATGGAAATTAATAAAATTCCATTTTAATAAAATCACATTTCTTTAGAATAAGTATAATTTAAGTCTTCATATTCTATATGCTTGGGAAAAAATATTGTAAAAATTGTGGCAGATGTATCAACCCAAAAGGTTAACACTAATGAATCTATTGAAAAGGTGGTTTAGCCCCATTTACTGCCACCATGACAAATATGACAGATCTGCAAATGAGCACATTGGATACCTAATGTTAACATCCATGTTCTGTCAGGTCCTCCTGTGGCTGATCAAAATGTAGCTTTGATTGCTGTAACTAATAAATAATCCAGGCTAATAAAACTGCTGTATCCCGTAATGATGACAGTGTGACCACTATCTTAATTAAAACTGTTCCAGAGCCTCATCCATCAGTCAGTGACAAGCAACCCTTCAAAAGGTTCACAGAGGAACAGACCCAGTGCCCAGCCAAAGACTTGCAGCGATGATCAGCAACCCTCAGGAATGATTCCCTTTGCTTCATAGCCTGTAGAATCATTGTCACAAATCTATCTCAAATTTTTATGTGCAAAATGTGCTCAGATTTGGCCTCCAGTTGTCCACAGTGTGAGCTACAGTGCCACACATGTTGGGATTAACACAGCAACCTTCCATGGTATTTTTTGGAAAGATAAAAAAACAGTTACTGGGATATACAACTGGTATTCCAATTTGAGACTTTCAGCACTGGAAATGCAACTGAAAGGCTGTGTATGATCCTGCTTGCAGAGATATTGCACCCTGGGATGTCACTGACCCAGACCTGACACCTCAACACCCTAAAGCCCAATCCTGTTTCCACATGTGAAAGGGTCAGCCCTAGACCTGCTCTGTCAGCCACATAAATCCAGTGAAAACTACAGTATTCAGTCTTTGGAAGGTTTCTCTGAAAACAGAATGAATGGTACCAACAATCACCTCCTCCAGGTTCCAGCCCAAATTAATGGATTCATGGCATCACTGAATAATGAGGTTGGAGAAGATCTCTAAGATCATCCAGTCCAACTATGCCCTAACACCTCAACCAGACTATAGCACCCAGTGCCATGTCCAGTGTTTTTTTAAACACATCCAGAGATGGTGATTCTACCACCTCCCTGGGAAGAGCATTCCAGTACTTTATTATTCTCTCAGTGATTTTTTTTTCCCTAATATCCAACCTATCCCTTCCCTGACGTAGCTTGAGACTGTGTGCTCATTGTGCTGGAGTACCTCATTTTGAGCTGGAAAAATCTCCCAACATATTAAGCAGTTAACTGTGAGGTCAAGGGAGAGTTTTCCATGCAGTTGTTTTGAAATCCCAAGCTTACCTGCAGTGTTTTCCACCAATTCTAATGCTCTTGGAATGTTCACAGCTGAGACAGCCACCACACACAGAGTGTCACCATGCAATTCCAGAAGGATTTAAGCAAAATAACACCTTATCACTTCAGAGGGCTGCAAGGGGCCTTCTTGTTCTTTAGCCCAGCCTTTTATGCCCTCCTGTTGATGCATTGCCCCTGTGTGCCCTCTGCTCCCTTTGGTGGTTGCTCAGTGCCCCTGGGCACTCCATGGGTCATTGCTCTCAGTGCTGCTCACCTGCTGCTCACAGCTGTGCCCACTGAGGCTCTGCCCCATCCCAATCACCACAAGCTGTGTGCCTACACTGAAATTTAGTGAAAGTTTTATGTTATTGGAATGGGAGTTACAGGAAAATGAACTGTCCTTTCTCAGAGTGGGATGTACCAACTAAACAGCAGCTTTTGTCCTTTATTTCTGCACCAAGCACGTTCCTTAAGTCACAATTCTTAACAGTGCAAATGCAGCAGCAGCAGAGTTCAGACACTGTTTACTTCAGGAAGAGCTGGAGGAGAGGAAAGGTGTCTCTCCCCCTTTCCTGGCCCTTGATCAGATCAGTGGCACCATGGCACTTAATTGGTAGTTTTGAAAGTACTGCTGCTCCAGAACTAATATTGTATATTCCTCTAGAACACTGAACAACATTTCAAATAACAAAATGATGAAACGGGAGTCTCTGCTTTTGCAATAGAGCACAGACTGCAGGAACTGTCAGCATCTGAAGTTCTAAAACCCAGCTGTCATGGTTTGCATGGTTTGATGCTGGCACAATCCAGTGCCCCCATATATAAAATATATTCTCTCTGGTGTCTACTGTGAGATGTAACCAGGAATAGAGCAAAGCAGGTGCCAGCTTAGGAATAAAGGAAAGAACTTTATTAACTTACAATATGGAAAAAGGAACATACAGGGATCAGAATGAAAACCTTCCAAAAACATTCGCCCTTCCCCCAATTTCCAACACAACACAGTGAGACAAAACCAGTTACCACCCCTCAGATAATGATTGGTTTGACCACAAACTCCCAAAAAACTCACTTCCTTTTCAAACCAGGACACCAGGGTAGCATTGCCATGCACACCCAATGCACAGCACAAGCTCCTGAATGTGAGGGCAATACAAAAACCAAAATTACTTCATTACCTGCTTGTCAAAGCCAGAAGCCAGGACAAAAAATTGGAGATTTGAAGACACAGGCACAGGGACACTGACCTCAGCAGGAGGCTGAATGGCAGGAAGGCACCAAAACTGTGCAGAACTAAGGCTGGACAGGCAAACTGCTTCACTTTCATTATCATCCAAGGAGGAAAAGCAGAAAAAACAAAATGAAAAATTGTAGTGCACTCCAGCAGGGTAGTGAAGGTCAAACTCAGCAAGAGACAATGCATTCTAATGAATATTTTTCCGAACTCTTGGAAGATTAGATTCAGCACATCTTTAAATCCCACCAATATATTAAACTGCTCCAAAAAAAGAATTTCTCAAACCTACAAACTATGGAAATAAGTTATTTTGTCCTGGCAGAGCTTCTCAAGTGCACATATCAAAAGAAGACTTAGGACAGGCAGCTACAACCAGAAAAAAAAATACTTATATCATGGAACAGGATCTGCAAGGAAACAGAGTTAACAGTCAATACTATTCCCATAGAAAAATGGATATTTCTAATTTGTGTTGACACATGAGTGCAAAATCACTGAAAATGACCAAACCTGCTGATTTAAAATATAGCACAGCTTGGGGGGATGGAACAGACCCCTGTGCCAGGGGATCAGAGCCCTCTGAAGCTCAGGTGAGGGAGGGCTTCCATGCATTTGTCTACTCCACATGCTTGGGTTCAGAGCAGGACAGCTGCTCCCACTGTCCACTGTCCAAGGGCAGTGCAAGGCCAGCCCCGGGGCAAATCCAGAGAGCTACATGCACAAAAAATGAACAGTAAAGAGCTAAAAGCAGTGTTGAACAATGATGCAATACAGAAAAAGAAAAAAGAAAAAAAAACCCCAATGCCCTCCAAACAAAAACAAAAAACCAAACCAAACAAAAAACAATATAAAAACCAAACAAAAACCACAAACAAACAAACAGGAAAAAAACACAAAAAAAAAAAAAAAACAAACCACAAAAAAACCCCGTAGCCCTAGAAACACAAAAACACAAAAATGAATTCCCATATTTTTACTCTTATTGCTTTGCTCCATCAGACATGGGGCAGAGGCAGGAATTCTGGGCAGGCAAGAGCTGTGATTAGGTCTCTGTCCTGGCCCTGGGACAGGTGTCCCCTGCACTGCAAGAACACAGCTCCAGCTGCAAAACTGCTGCAAGGACACAAAACACCTGAGAATGGGAGGGCAAAGGGCTCAGAGTACTGAGACTGCCCCTTTTCCAAGTGTTCCTGAGGAAAACGTGCAGGCTGAAGCTTTTCCAGGCCTTAGGACACTGCAGAAGGCAAGGACTGAGTCTCAGATTGTGAAGTTATTTTATTAAGTCAATTAACATTCAAATAGTTCCTTTTAATTACTCTAGAACAGACAGGAATCTGGTGCAGGAAAATTGTCCTGTTTTTTTCAGCTGCCAGTTTTTCCTCCTGGAATGCACTAAGGCATATTTTACCTTCAGATACCACAATTAACAACACAGCGTAACTAAAGAAGAGAATTTCAAGAACTTGTGAAACCAACATTTCTTAAAACCAACATACTCCTTAAACAAAACCTGAAAAATTTCCAGATTATGCTCCAGTAAAACTGATGCCTTCCAAGGATAAGTCTAAGGGCATAAAGGATAAGGCATAAGAGGGCATAAAAATGATTAGTGGATGGGAACACACTGTGAGCATAAGATCTGATAATGCCACTCCCTAACAAAAAACCCCAAAACCTTTCAGTCACATGCAGTATACATAGTATTCCCAGCTGTTATCCTGCCTATAAAATATGCTGTAGGGCTTCCAAGCCACAGATTGTGAAGATGGACAGAAAGAAAAAGAAGGAAAGGGTGAGGTAACAATGCAAATGACCACAGTATATAATTTATTTTATTTCTGTGTGACTATGCCCAAAGAACTTCAACCTAGAGTGACTTGTGTAGAGGAAACAGCACTGTGAAGCTCCCAGGCACTCAGCTCTCTCCTCATCCCCTCACTAAGCATATTCTGCCATTTCAGCATTTAGTAATTTTAATCTTTTTGTAGACTTTCAGCCTTTCCCACAATCTGCCTTCAGGGTGGGACCATGTTCAGAGCAGCTGTGAAATAAACTATTATTATTATTGAACTGTTTTAATCTCTTTCAATTTTTCGTCTTTCACTACAGCACAGCTCTTCAGCTGTTAGTTCTCCATTTAAAAGCAGAGAGCCACGTCAGATAATTAGAAAAAGGTTTACCTGAGGGCTTTCCTAGGTAATTTACAGCTTGACTAACCTATAAAAAATTATAGGGAAATAAGGCTGTGGTACCTAAAAGTAATGGTTGTTTGTTCAGTTCAGCACTACTTAATTACTCTTCCTTTAGTTCAAAGCAAAAAGGAAATAATTTATTCTTCAAAACATTTCATGAGCTAATTTAAAATAATTGACTTTGAAAGAAACTGTGAGGACAAAAAATGTGAAATTATTAGTATATTAAAAAGCAATACTACCATAAAAAAACCAACCCCTCTTGTTTTATAGACATAGGATAGTTTCCCCTCTAAGTAGGGTACAGGAGTCTACTAAGTACATGAGGTGAAAGAAAAATAAATGGCATTTTGGCTTAAAAATACTGATAGGTTTGTATTTACCATGTGGTTATTTGGGACAGCCATCCTCACTGGAACCCACTGTGTAGTTACAGGCAGCCACGAGGGGAGCCTCAAACTGATTCAGGATGTCACATACTTCTACAAACATGTTTTTGAATGAATTTCAAACCTCAGAGATTTTAAAAACCTGAAAATATTTGAAATCTAAAAAGCACCTTTCCCCATTTCTACCACAATTAGCAACTAAAGTAATATATAATAAAGGAACTATATACTGGCATTTGGCCTGTGTGCATTAAAAATCCATCTTTCTGTGCTGCAGCCCCTGAACGTTAAGAGGCCACACGGAGGAGAGGGTTTACAGTGAGATATTGAGCACTGCCCAGTTTCTGGTGCTTTTTTCCTCTTTTATTGTTGGCCAAGAGACACTGTTTGATACAGAATAAAACTGCAGCTGCACTGGAAACAGATGCACATACACACGTGTGCATGTGTGTATATGTATATAATTTATATCTCTCTATATATATTAAATTTACATATAATAATATATTAATATATTAATATATAATAATATAATCATTATTATAATTAAATTAATATTAAAATAGCTTATTGATATTCGAATATATTACTATATTATATATAGTAAATTATATTATATTATCAACAATACTATAATATGCTATTGATAATGTTACATTATATTATTACATTTATATTAGTATTATATTACTAATTATTATATTATATTATATTATATTATATCATATCATATCATATCATAGTAAAGTAACATAATACTATTATATTAATATAATAGTATTAATTTATTAATAATAATTATACAATAATATTAATAGTATGTATTAATGTATATTAACATATATTATTTAATATATATTATACATACATTTAAAATGTATATATATTTATACATATATATAATTGTATATATACATCAGCCTGGTGAGGTGAACTCAAAATGAAAATTTAAAATGTAAATTCAAAAATAAGAAATTGGAATACAGGATTCTTTGGCCCATAATAAAATTGTGATAATTTTATTGCAAAGAAATACATTTCATAAAGGCATTTGGTATCATTCCAGAGTGTTTTAAATGCTGCATCTGACCCCATATTGGCCATTCTACACAGCAGCTCTGAGCTCAGACTGAGCAGAAAAGGGACAGTAATACAATATACAGCAAGTGCAAGAGAAGTAGATGCCCACCAGAAACAAGATCTAGTTTTTAACTTGCAAGCTGTACTAATTCCACAGTCACTCCAGTTTTAAAACCTACTTTATGTCCCCAAAAGCAAAGCACTCATGGTGTATACTAGGGAAACAAAAAT